TGGTGTATGATGAGTGGTGTATGATGAGTGGTGTATGATGAGTGATGTATTGATGAGTGGTGTATGAACAGTTCTTGAATGTCCGTAACACGGAAGTTTCGTACACTAAACTTCCTTTGATCATCTCAATCAATTCTGCTGATAATTTTTTGCGAAAAACATGAAGGTGTACTACCTGCCAGCGAGCCATTTGGAGAGACGTTTGGGTTTGAAGGCTGGGATCGGTCGGGCGTTCCCCCCACCACCGCTAGCAGAGTATGCTTTCTGTCGCCGTGCAGCGGACTCCGCATCCTGGGGCGAGGCGTGGTGGTTGCCCCAACACGTGACACAGAACCGCCTGTTTTACCTTTTTCCGCTGTGCGTCGCGCCCCTTGCCTGACATGTTTCTCTTCGAGGGGAACAAAAGCTTGGGTTGTTGCGTGGAAGCCACCTGATGTTAGACACCAAATGAGGTGGCAAAAACGGATAGTGATACCGATACCGAAATGCTCTGGCTAAAATGGGGCTGGGTCTAGGCTCCTGATGTTGGCTATTTTAGCAACTGGTTTCCTTGAGAGTACCATGGCGTAATGATATGTTTTTGGAACGCAGGTGTTCGGCCCGCCTTCAAATTCCTCGCCCTTCTGGCTTCCCAAGCCGGGCCCGTATGCCAGCCGAACCCACCCTGCCAACTTCACCCGGACAAACCTGCTCACACGCCTTTGCCTTCCGCTCCCCTTGGGAGCGTACCTGCCGATGCCATCGCGTAGGCGACCATCGTGCAGCGTGCGCCCGGACTGGGGCTCTCTGGAGCGTCCCCTTGAGAGAGCTGCTGCCCGCATTCGTCGGGAAGCCGGGGGACGGGTCACCACGCACACCTTTCTGTCTGATATGAAACAGCCCTCTCACCTCGACAGGCAGCCGCCATGGCCTCATCCTGTACAATGTACAATGGGGTCCAGCACGCCATCGACACCACTTGGTGTCCCCTCTCACCAGTTCGGGCACCCCGCCGGCACTTTGAGATCCTCCCTCGGCACAGCCTTGCTCTCCCGCTGGTTGGCCATGTTGACACAAGCCGCCATGCAGCCCCTTGCAGAAAACCGCTTCCTGCAAGATTCGCCGGGTTTCTCCACCCTCTTTGGGGAACTCTTGGCCCAACACCCTGAAGCTACCACTGCCCCCAGTCAATTGCCAGAGCCACAACAACATGGAAAAAGGTGTGTGGCAGAAAGCCTGTCAAAAGACCCTCGGAACATCGCCCAAGTGCAGCAGCCAAGTAAGCCCCCTCCTTTCTTTGCACCTTCCTGGTGTTGTGGTGCAGCCAACCGAAGCACATTGGCTCGGCTTGAGGGAGTGAAGGAAGGCACCGTGGTTCCTGTCGACACGTGGGATATGGAAGAACATGGGATTGAAAATGGGGAACAATCCAAATTAGAACCCTCCATGACTTGGATCCAGATCGGGCAGGGCAAGGAAATCGTTCATAACAGCAGCGGGGTTCCAAGCGTTTCGGCAAAAAATTGACTCAAAACCTTTGCATAAGTTGTTTTGCTTACACGCCGGGCAAGCCAACTGAGTCCATGTGACCGGCCCCCCTTGCGCCTATCATTGCGATAGTAAAAAACTGCCCGGCCAAACCAGCCTCTAAGGGTGGCAAGCCACGAAGCCCCAGGCCGGCTCAAGTCAAACTTTGAAGAACATACATCCCACCCCCAATATCGATCATTTGCCATGTTGTTTCAAATTGTTGTCCTTCAACCCTTGCAATTCGTCCAGTTTTGTCAGCCCTTTGTGTCATAAAACCGCGCCGAAGAAGACCGGGCGAAACTGTTCTACCATTGTTTCTGCGCATGATTCCGCCAGCCTGACGTGAAAAATTAGTTAGTTCCCGTCGTAATTTTTTGCAGTTGTCCGTCCTGCTTAGGCTTTTATGCACCTGTGTGACCCGAAGGGAAGTGTTGTAACCGCAGCATTGGACCAAGGTTCAAGGACATTGTTTACAAAGATTGGCACGGTGCTTGTTACATTGAAAACAACATGGTGATCACAGCGTTGGGGCATGTTGCCGGCAGCAAATACAATGGTGAAGGGTTCATAAATGGAATTTTCGTTGTTGTTGTTGCTGCTTTTGTAAGTGCAATATTTCTTACCATTGCCTCGTCCATGCCACGCCTGGCTCCGCAAGAAGTTGCATGGCTGGAAAAAATGTTGCCGCAGGACATGTGGAATTATATATATATATATTTGTACAAACTGCTGGAAATTGACATTTTGGTTTCTTGGCAGGATGCCATGTTACCAAGCAGCCATTTGCAGCTGGCGACCTTTGTCCACACACCCATGGCACAATTTGGTCAACATTTGCGATTGTTCAATTTTGGAGGTTTGAACTTCGGAAAGTTTATGTCTCGAGGTTCCTGCATACAACAGTTGGCATTGTGCAACTGAGGATGCCAAAGATGCATAGGCCACAACGTGTGGCAACATTCTTCCAGACCCATGGTGCACAGGGCGAAGAAATCCATGCTGAGGGAATAACCTCCGAGTTGCGACCTTTTGTGGCGCAGGACCTCCGCAGGCAAGTATAAGTCGTCCACGGGGAATGTGCATTTCGTTTGTCAACGGCATATGCGTGTGGATTGTCAGGACACAAGATCGATATATGCACGCAAATTCTTTTCTTCTTTTCAAGAAAAACAAGTCGTTTGCGCAGCTTGACGGGCATTACCAATATTTTGGTAACCAATGCCGCGCTTCACAATTGCCGTACTTAGGCCATCAACATGCGGGAACGCTACCCCGGAATGCAAACGAAACGTTGCTGTGAAGAAGCATCGGAAGCCAGCTGTTTGGCTTGCTGTGTGATACTCAGTTGCCTGGTTGCTGTGTTTTGCATCGGGTGGGCACAACTAGCTCAGCTGGTCATAGCCGACCCACCCAGTCATGGCAAAAAGGGCGAGACACGGTATGTCATTTCTGTTTCAATGATTTCAATTTGACCTTGTCGCTGGGAGCCCGATGAAGCGCATGGAGTTTGTTATAGGTTTTGAAGGGTAAAGGAAAGGAGAGGGTCGAAAACTTCGGGTTCCTCATGTTTTTGCATTTTTAGTCGTGTTTGTTGAGTTGTTTGTAACCTCCTTGTTGGTTTAAGGTCAAGAACATTTCGCGTCACGTGGTGAAAAGTGCGCCCCAGCTGAAAGAGGTCCAGTTGGGAGATCTCAACAGTCGATAGCATATTATATTCAGGACGGCTTGCCGTCGCCAAGTGACTTGCACTGGACTGAGCTTAGGTGTGGAGGTTTGTGGCACCATGTGCGCTTTTGGCTGGGACAAGGGCAACCGCAAGGTTCCCCAATGTCCAGAAAAACTTGGCCACTGAGCTCACTTAGGAATCTTTTGCTTGTGTTTTATCGTTTTCTCGTGTTTTTTGTGCCGAACAAACTGGGGGACTTTCTGAGGTTCCGAAGATGGTGGTGCAGAAGAGTGGTATGCAGAGGATCCCATGAAGGTGTGGTGGGACCATGTGTGGTGACATTCAATCCTTGTCACTTCGTATTGTCATGTGCATGCGCGCTCAGTGAAAGTGAAATGCAAGTTGGTCACATGAAATCATGAAGCTTGTTTGGAGGTAAGTTTGTTTCTTGAGATGCTTTGCAATGCTAATGCCAAAATGATTTCTTGAGCCAGGACCGTCCTCGTCCTGCTGTGCCTGTGACATGGCTATGATCCTTTTTTGCTCCGTTTGCATGGTGGCCGTTTTGTGTTCCACGGCCCACTGTTGTGCCAGGAGCCCCTAGTAGCTTCTTGTTCCTAATAGTACGGCCAGGAGCCCCTAGTAGGGTCCTTGCTCCTAGTAGCGATGCCAGGAGCCCCTAGTAGCGAACATGGTTCCTAATAAGGACAAGAAGCTGAATGACGAGAAGAAGGTCGAGAGAGCCCTCTCTCTCGGGTTCTGACCATTGCGGAGGAAAAAAATCGGCGGCATGAGGAAGAACTTGAGAGGATTCTTTTCAGTCCCGGCTCTGTTTGGGACACTTGAACTTGTGCACTGCGCTTTGGCATGACGTTGCAGCATTGCTCCCTTCAGGTGCCAGACAGCAAGACAGCTGTAATGACTCTTCATGGTTTTTTGTTGCATTGTACAGATTCAGGAACTGGGGCTTGCATGTTTGTCCAATGCCAAAAACAGCCAGAAGATAGCAAAACAACGCGCAATCATGAATGCAGTGTAGCTTACAAACTTAATGGGTTGCAGATTCAATGGGTTGCAGATTCTAGTTCTAGCTTGAATGGCAGGCGGGCAAAAGAAATCCAATACATCATGTCGCATTGTTGCGTTTCGGGTTGCATCAGCCACAGCCGATGAGTCTTGATGGACAGATCGGTCGTTTTGCAGGAATAGATCCCTCACGCTTTCAAGATGTCCAGCAGCCACCCCGGTCAGTTGCTCAGACAGGTTGCTTCCCGGGGCTAATGTGCACGGCAGACATCACGAGAGCAGTCAGCATCTTGATTTTAGCCGTGAGAAGGCTGGAGTATGGAGATGCCATGTACTGGACATTGCGTTACAAAGAGAAGGCCAACGAACCGTTGCTAGGCTTCAGCGTGCAAACTTGTTTGTAAACATCTTGGACCAGCGGTGAAACAAGACAATAATGGCGAACCAAGGTTTGACTGGCAGGACCCTGAGTGAATGCTAGAGTACAGCGTAGGAGGAAGTGCCATACAGTGCCCGAACGTGTCAAATCAGTACGGTGAGGTACCTCAAGTGGGAGCACTTAAAGGACATTCTGATTGTGTGAAACAGCTCGCAGCTGCAGAGTGGTAAATGTGTCAGGAGACTTTAGCTCCCTGGCTTTCCCCTGAGCACTGGACTCAGAGTGACTAAGATATTTTGTGCTGAATGGTTCCATGCTTCTGATTCGTTTCTGTTCCGCCGGTAGGCCCATAGTATTGTTTTTAGTTTTTCTCTTTGGAACTTTGGATTGTTTGACGCTGAGAACGTAAAACCAAGGTCAGAAGTCCTGATGGTTGGATGTGGCCCCTGGCCCAGCGCGAGACAGGTTGAGAGGGCTGCCTCGAGTATGTTTGCGCATCAAGGCACGAGCTTGATCCCTGAGCAACTTCTGACAGATGGCCTGGCGCTTGGTCCGATGGTGAAGCCCATCACAACTCACGAGCACGGAATTGCGAAACAAGAACGGACAACAAGGAACTGGTAAGTTTGGATCCCTAGTTTTTGACCTTCAATCATAATTATCTACCTGCCATGGGTTGCAGTTGTGATGCCGGCATTTTAGTGTCAAGAGCCAACAGCTGGGAGACAACCTTGCTCCTCTCCAGAAAAGAGGCGCAGATATGTCATGAGCAGACACATTTCATTTCCAGATCTAGCAGTGCCAGCCGCATCGATGGAGAATAGGAACAGGCTTTTGGGGCTCCCGATTCCAACAATTGGTAAATTCATCACGAATGAATTGGCCATGTTGTCAGAAGCCATGGACGACGTGGATCGTGCGCTGGAGTTTGAGGAGATGGCCGGCGGCTTCTTCAGCCCGGAGGATGACGTAGACGAGGGTTTGCTCTTGGAAGCAGCTCTCCGAGCAGAGCAGGAACAGTCCCAGAGCAGAGCAGCGGCAGCGAAGGAGGATCCAGTTGGCACCAAGAGGTCCCGCCCAAGTGTTTCCAGTTCACATGAAGGCCCGACTGAAGGAAGCTTGCCAAGTCAAATTGATCGGATGCATCAGACTCAGACTCAACAGGCCCACAGCCAAACTCCAGTGGATATTCTGGCGGAGCGCATTCAAGCACTATCACTTGCAGAGAGTTCTGGTTGTATCAGAGGCCCAGGACTGATCAGTGGCCATCCGTGTCCCATCATGCCAGATCATGTCCGCTGTCGCTTTGAGGTGGGAGGAGTTGAAGTCTTGTTTCCCTTTGCTCAACCATTAGATCCTCAGAAGGCAGTGATCAAAAGCGTCTTGGAGGCTCTCTCTTTGAACAAGCATGCTGTGCTGGAGAGTCCCACAGGAACCGGGAAAACTGCTGCGGTATTGTGTGCAGCTCTAGCTTGGCAGAGGCATCGTATGTCAAAGTCCGGTACAGCGCCACAAATCATGTATGCCACTCGCACCCACGCACAAGTGCGGCAAGCAATGAAGGAACTCGAAAGAACTCCGTACCGTCCGGTCGTTGCCGCACTTGGCTCACGAGAGGCAGGCCTTTGTGTCAACTCGCAAGTCTTGGAATCAGCTGACAATGAGGGGCAAATCCGACAGGCTTGCCGCCAAGCCCGCCAGCAAAAGAGTTGCCAGTTTCATTCGGGTTTGCTCTCGTCCGAGCTACCGCGCCTAGCTTTTTCGAAGCTCCGAGGAAACGAGATATGGGACATTGAGGATGCTGCAGAGTTTTCGCTCGCAACCAACTCATGTCCTTACTATCTAGCTCATTCTTTGGCAAAGCATGCAGAGCTGGTATTTTGCCCCTACAGCTATATATTGGATCCATCCGTGAGGCAGGCGGCCGGTCTGAGTTGTGCTGATCTCACTAGCCGGGTGGTGATTCTCGATGAAGCGCACAATGTAGAAAGCGTTTGCCGCGATGCCGGCTCGGCCGAGCTGAATCTGGACCAGCTGAAAGCCGCCCTCTCGGCAGTGAAGAGGGTCCTAGGAGAAGACTCTGGGCAAGTCAGCAGAGTTGCCAGCATTCCTGCACCGGTTACAAGTCAAAAGTCCACTCCTGTGGAGGAACTTGGAGGCTTCTTTTTGCCTGCGACCGTCACGGAAGCCTCGGAGAAGCCCAAAGGACCTAAGCTGGTTCCAAAGACTCGGTCTCAAGGACTGCTAAATGCTGTGCGTCCGTTAGCCGGCCTGCTCCAGCGAGTTTGTAACTTTATTTCCGATGTCCGTGAACCCATCACCTACGCTCCGCACCTACCGGATCACCAACGAGTCCCTGCACTGTTGCGGATTCTGAAGCTGGATTCCGAGCCGTTGCTTCGATTCAATCAGCCAGGTGCAGGGCGTTCCCGGAATGAGGGAAACATGCCACGTGCAGAGGCTTTGCTTCGTGAGCTGGTCGGCCGTGGGCTCAGTGGGTCTTTTTCCGCTCAGCTGGAACTTGCTGCCTCACTCTTTGGACAGTTGGGTGCAGCGGTGAGACGCCCAGACTTGTATGTAGCTCGCGCCCATCCAGGTGGGCAAGGTCAACAAGCTCATTTGCACTTGTGGCTCATGAGCGCAGAAGGAACTCTGGGGACATTGTGTATGGAGCTTCATGCCCTGGTATTGATGTCCGGAACGTTGTCACCCTTGCCAACCACGATTGCTGAATTAGGTCCAACCTTTCATTCCAACGCACTTCTGCCGGTTGCGGCCAATCATGTAGTTGGACCAGAGGCGTTGAGAGTAGTTACTGTGGCTCAGCAAGCTGCCAGCACAAGTTCAAAACTCGAATGCACCTTTCATGCGTGGAAGCGCTTACCGTTCCTACTCTCGATAGGGCATGCGTTGGTGAAAATTGTGAAAGCAATACCCGCTGGAGTTCTGGTCTTTCTGCCTTCCTATGATTTGCTTGAGCGATGCCTGGAAGCATGGCAGAAGACCGACAACGATGACAAGTTGCTCTCTTGTGAGACAGTTCGAAGGAAGGGTAGAGGCAAAGGAGGGCGGCAAGGCACAAAACGCCGGTATCGTGGAGCTGTTGAGAGGGTTGAGGAGTTGCCAGAAACAACGGTGGAAAGTGGGCGCAGCATCATGGATGAACTTCGAGCTGCCAAGGGAACCATTGTCCTGGAACCTCCTCCAATGTGCCAAACGTCAACAGCAACTGTGGCCCGTGTCTATCAAGCTGCCAAGGACAGGTATGAAAAGGCTGTCATGCAAAGCGGGCAAGCTGCTTTGCTGGCAGTTTACAGAGGGCGAATGAGCGAAGGCGTTTCATTTGATGATGATTTTGCACGTGGAGTCATATGCATTGGAATTCCCTTTCCCAATCTTACTGAAGAGCGGCTTGCGCAGAAACGCGCCTGCAACGATTTTTGGCTTGCACAAAGGCTGGGTGTGGTCTCTGGCGATGCTTGGTACGAATCCAAGGCTTTACATGCTGTAGCGCAGGCTTTGGGCAGATGCATCCGACATCCTCACGATTTTGGTGCTTTGGTCCTTCTTGACAGCCGATGGTCGGAGCTCGGGATTCTTGTGCCTTAAGATGAGAAGTCTTTTCAGATGAGCTGAGTTTTTTTTTTGTAGATGAAAGGATTTACTGTATATATAGAGTTAGAGGTTGACCTGTGTTTTGCTTGTGTAAGCAAATTCGCTTGGGGGCGTAGGCCTGCGTAGGCTTTTGTGGAGGATATCTTCGCGTAGGCTTCTTGCGTAGGACTCCTTTTCGCAAAGTTTGATTGCTTGAATGTGTTGCGTCTCATGGTTGCAGTGTTTTGCTAGGACAGAGGCTCAGTTCAGAGGGACAATGGCCAGCAAGGAACGAGATCGCGACATTGCACACATGCAAACAAACGATGCAGATAGTGCTTGAAATTGCTGTGGCAAAGCCATTCTTGCCAACACAAATGCATGTTTTCTCGCGTAGGCCTAGGCCTCGCGTAGGCTTCGCGTACACACTATGCCCCACGTCTCCGCACAACTGTCTTTCGGATGACAAGTCTTGCCTTGCAGCTTGCTGGCAAAAACATGGAGTGAGCAGACGTCTTCTTGCAGGTGGCAGTAGTAGTGGTAGTAGTGGTGGTAGTGGTAGTAGTAGTGGTAGTCGTAGTCGTAGTCGCAGTTGTAGTCGCAGTCGCAGTCGTAGTCGTAGTGGTAGTCGTAGTGGTAGTCGTCGTAGTAGTCGTAGTCGTAGTCGTAGTCGTAGTCGTAGTCGTAGTCGTAGTCGTAGTCGTAGTAGTAGTAGTAGTAGTAGTTTTAGTAGTAGTACTAGTAGTAGTAGTAGTAGTGGGAGATAGTAGGAGTAGCAGTTGTAGTGGTAGTGGTAGTGGTAGTGGTAGTGGTAGTAGTGATAGTAGTGGTAGTAAGTCGTGGTAGTAAGTCGTGGTAGTAAGGCGTGGTAGTAGTGGTAGTAGTGGTAGTAGTGGCAGTAGTGGCAGTGGTGGTGGTGGTGGTGGTGGTGGTGGTGGTGGTGGTCGTGGTCGTGGTGGTGGTCGTGGTGGTGGTCGTGGTGGTGGTCGTGGTGGTGGTGGTGGTGGTCGTCATCGTCGTCGTCGTCGCCGTCGTCGTCGTCGTCGTGGTGGTAGTGGTAGTGGTAGTAGTATAGTGGTGGTCGTCGTAGTCGCAGTCGTATAGTCGAGCTCACCACAGAAGAGTGAAACCCAATGGAACAGTAGGCAAAACACATCCAAGGGAGAGAAAAGCTGCATCGGGTATGTTCCGCGTAGGCATGTTTGAAGAACCAATGGTAGGCGCGCTGTGGTGGCGTAAGCGCGCGTAGGCACTTAGCGTCGGCACCGAGAAATGATAACACTCCACATGCCAAAACAAGACGCTGCTCAGATGTGGGACCAAGGTTTGGAGTCTAGATTCTAGATCCCGCTTTTCAGCAGAGGTTTGTTTTGGTGTTCATTTCCCTTTAAGTTAAGTCGGCTGACTTCCATACTGACATACTGGAGTGCTTGTTCCCGTCTGATTTCAGGAAATCCAGCCAGCTGCCACTGTGGTTGCAGCCGTTTGTGGTGCATGAGAATGATGCTGAAGATGCTGCGCTGCTTTTGCAGGAGCACTTTGCTCACCATGTTGAGGCACTGCCACGGACAGGATGTCCACAGGTGAAGTGTGACAAGGTCGAGACAAAGGGAGAGAAGTGCGACGCGAAAGATGAAACAAAGGATGAAATCAAAGATGAACTTAAGGATGAGATAAAAGATGAGATCAAGGAGGAACTTCATGATGTGAATTCTCCTGGATGTTTTGGAGCAGTTGCTGCAAAATGGCTGGATACAACTGAGACGCGACAAGGTCCACCAGCGACGCCGGCTCATTCTCCACCACAGCCCATTTTTCAAACACTTACTCGAAACACCGAAGGTGTCTACCTAGATCTTGATAGTGACTAGCTTGTTCTGAAAAAGGTGGTCCTGCATTCCTGCACCTGCATTTCGCCAGGGACGGCATCCCGAGATTTAGCCTTGACCGATTCAAACCATGTTCACACCATAGTGTCAATGCGGAGGTCAAGTGCCAGAGACGTGGAATACGGTGGCTTAATGCACACTTGATGACTGAATGGTTTCTCGTATTTCAGGTTTGGCTTCAAGCATCATGTGCGTCCGAGTCTTGACTTCTTGAGTCGATTGAATGACGTTCTTGAGGAGACCCAACGGAACTTCTTTAAAGGTGCGTCAAGTTTCAAGTTGCCAAGGTCGACCAATGTGTTGCTTGCCAGCACGGCGCGTTCGACGGAGTTGCACTACTTTGAATCACATGCTCGAACTATCATGAACCTAAATATATAAATACATTATGTGCCTGTTTGACTGATCATTTGAATAGACTTTGTGTTCTTTCTTGCTGCATGTTGCTGCATGCCGCCAAGGCAGAGCTCATTGATGTATTGCGCGAAAAGTACAAGGATAAGGTTGCTATCCCAGCCATGAGTGAGATAGTTTCCTTTGTGTTTACACTAGCGCCAGCACCGTGGCTGAATGCGGGTCAATAGGGCCACATCGCGAACTTGGCAGGAAGCCTTTCAGTTTGAGGCTGTGGATGCTGCCAAGTTGCCAGAGGCACGATAGCTTCACAGCTCAACTCCAATTTATGGAATCGGGCAGTCTCACTTGTGCAGGAGTGGGCAGGCAAGTTTGACATCGTCATAGACAAGGCGATGTTGGATGCCGTCATCTCCTCCGGGAGGCTCATTCTTCGGAAACATACTTCACTGCTGGCAAGACATGCCCATGCCAGAACAGATGTTTTGCCAATTCTCTTCTTGTTTAGGCAAGGGCGACTAAAAGCTGAAGACATTTTGAAATCAATCTCTGCTCGGTCCTCAACGTGGAGACCTGGCTTTGTCAGCAATCAGGGGAGCACCTTTTCCGGCATAGAAAGTTGAAGACAGCTTCCCTTTCTAATAGCAATGGCCATCAATGGCCTCCAACCTACTGGGGATGGCCTCCAATCTACTTGCGACAGCCTCCGACCTAAGGCTGTTGTGATGCTTTTTTGCGTATCTCTTTTTTGCGTGCTTCTTGTTACTAGTAGTATGGCCAGGAGCCCCCAGCAGCATCCTTGCTCCTAGTAGCGATGCCCTTTGCTCCTAGTAGCGTCCTTGC